TTACTAGTATTCAGAAAAAGGAGTAATTTCCGACGATGGTTAAATATTTTACACACTCACTAGCCATAGATTTCTATGTATTCAGTATTATACAGTGTTAGAGAACTCTGGTGGTATAGTTCATAGGGAGTGTTCACTGCTAACTTGAAGGTGATTCATATCCACTAAGGATTCTCAAGAGGATGGGTAGTCTCCTCCCGTGCTATCTGCGGACTCCAGAAACCCAGTGGAGGATTACCTGTGAGTCAGTTCTGACTCTACAGTAGAGACTGACTAATGATAGAGCTATAGTTATTTTTGACAGTGGTAAAGGGTAGGGCAAAGATCAGATCTGTTGTTCATACGGTTACTATGAGTTGTAGATAATTCAATAGTACTGAACATAGTTACTCTTAATAATGCTCAAATTGTTCCCAAATTTGGCCAGTAGGAACTCCTATTAAATGGATCATATGAACATAGCCCTTGTCTAAGTTTTTCCTTGCTTTTTGGGACAGTAATATGTCTCAAGTTTACTGTTCACCTTATTTGCCTTAGACAACCATGTTAGTAGAAACCATGATCTGGTATAATTATATTTGTTGCAGTTAAATGTCTTTATTGAAGACCTTTTCAGTAATCAGAACTGAGAGATAAATTAGTACAAAAATTCACTAGTTTATTTTCTCATATTGAAAAATCTTCCCACAACTTTATCCTTTATCATACTAGTGTAGGATGGCCTTAAAATTATAATACCAGTGTTACTACTGAAAAGAGAAATGTGGAGGGAGGAAAAGATTTTTCCTCAGTTCCTTTTGTCCTCAATATCTGGCCCAGTAAATGTATTATTGTTTTCAATTTCATAAAATTAAATTTGTTTCAATTTGTTCTCAGTTTGTGTATTTGCCTTTTTCATTTTATCTTTGAAGTTATGAAATGTTTATGTAGTTCAAACATCAAAACTACCAACAATGCCCAGATTGCAAATGTGATCCATTCCCTTTTTTTTTTTTAATCCACTAATACAATAGCTTGCCTCTAGAAACCCTGTGAACCTGGAGAAAGGTCAAAAGTTATACAGGAGGTGTCCAGGACTTTCATTCATAGGGTTGTTATGAGTCGCCTGCGACTTGACAACACTTAACAACAACAAAACAACCATCAGATTAGATCTGACTGGTACAGGAGGAGATTGTCCTTCCATCTCCAGCAGAGCATCTGGTGGATTCAAAACATGCACCTCTGGGATTGCAGTGCAGTTTCTTGCGACTAGGACACCAAAGCTTTCCGAGATCCATTCTTAAATGGTCTTTAAATTGAATTTGCAAGTCAGAATAGGTGCCTATAATTCTTTTCTTAGTTTCACTTTAGTGCAATAAAAGTTTCAAAGTCATTTTGGTGATTTAAAGGCTGCCAATGAAAGTGAATGTGATAAAGAATTTGTTGTAAACAGTAGTTAATACTTTCATTTTAAAGTGAAGACAAATTCCTATATTCCTATATTTCTTTCTCAATCCCACCTTGTCCCTATGAGAAATCATTTTTTAGTTTGTCCTTCTGTTATTTTTTTCCAAAAGCAAATATGTGTATGTATGTATGCTTTTTAGATTTTTACCTTCTGTCTTTTTGTGTGTGTGCGTGATGTAAAGTGATTAAATGAGAATTGTACAAGCGTATTATCATTGAAAACAAAGAATCTTCTAAGCTCTTATACAAACTATCAAGTTTTGAACCAAGTTCTAAACTATCACAAAATAGATCACATAACTTTGTCATGTATAAATGAAGCAACAGAAGGCCTAGGAAACGAATTTGTATTTCCTTTATTGGCAGATTGTATGCAATATGACTCAACAACAAGGAAGTACTATGTAGTAATAGAAAATAAAATGGGAGTCCATTATATTTATGGCTTAAGTATGGGGCTGGACAGAGTAAGAAGTAATTTATATCTTCAAAGGCTGTTCTTGTGATTTAAAATTGTTATTGCTATTGTTAGGTGCAAATATTTGCCCAGTATTCACTTTAGAAAATCAATGGCTTATCTACATTGTAGCCATTTTCAGGCAGAGCTTTTGAATCAGTTCATTCTAGTTTAACCTCTCTGAAAAATTTGCATTTCCATCCCAGATACGTGTCATTAGAGGTTAAAATGTAGATTTTGGTTCAGTATATCTAAGTGGAAATGTAAATTATCAGCAGGATTATCTAACTGCTATTAACCCTTTGAAGCCCAAGTTAGATATGAGGGAAATTAACCATTGTTGAAAAAAAATGAGGGAGAGGAGAGAAAAAGAGGATCATATTTGTATTTAAAACAAAAGGAATGTTTTAAGAAGAAGCACAATTTAGACTAAGATAAAGTGTTTTCATGTTGAACTGTTCTCCAAGTTACCAGAGACTGATTATTGATATTAGGTGCACTCAATGACTCATAGCAACCCTATAAAACAATTGACCTATCCTGTGCCAGTCTCACTATCTCTGACACTCAAGGCCATTGCTACAGTCACTGTCAGTTCACCTGTTTAAGGGTTTTCCTCTCTTTCACTATCTCTCTACCCTTCCAAGCATGATGTCCTTCTCCAAGGAATAATATCCTTTCCTAGCAACATGCCCAAAGTGTTTGAGATAATTGCCTTCTTTCTTAGCACAAAAGTGTAGTACATTATATACTCTATTCTGTACTTGCATCTTTCATGTAACAGATACCTAAATTTTTAAACATTTAATGGAAAAAAGCAAATTTATGTATCACATTTAAATTTCTTAACGAAATCCTATTATAATCATCTTTCTTGAGTAAGACAATAAATATTCTATATCCTTTATATAAAAAACCCTCATTTCAAATGTCATCAGTTGACTTTTCACACACTCACAATATTGCTCTTTTAAATGCATCTCTTTTTACAATCTGACCAGTAGAAGCTTTTTTTTGCTGACTTTCCTATTACTTAGCACTACTTGTGACATCCTGGTAAGCATCTTTTCTTTCTAGCAACAATTGAAAAATCTGAACCAATCCTGAAACTTTGTCTACACAAGACATGGTATCAGCTACTCTCCAATAATTTATCATTTTAAATTGAGAATACTATTAAATATAAAAATTGGGGCTTTTGAAATGCCCCATCAACATTGTACTAAGTAGAGCTCTGCTCCTACTTTTCAACCATTTGTAACACCAACTGAGAAAAGTATCTCTTTGTAAATCTATCTGTTTTAACAGGTTTTATTATTATTCTTTGAATTCCTATTTTATGTTCCCTATAACTTCTTAAATTTTAACTCCAGATTTAAACTCTAATTATACTGTTTACTCATTATAATTCCTTTTTCCTCATCATTTAGTTATCTTCTTATGTAAGTTGTTATGTCCCTTGACCATCTTGCTATATTGGTGTGTTCACCAGTTTTATAGTCAAATTTTTATTGCTTAAACAAACACACATATATACACAAACACAAAACCCAGTGTCAGTGAGTCAGTCCCAAGTCATAGCAACCCTCCATTGGAATTTTGAGGCTGTAAATCTTAACTTGGAGGACAGTGCTTCTTTTTTCTCTGACAGAGTGGCTGGTTGGTTTAAACTACAAATAATATTAGAAGTCCAACACTTAACCTACTTTACCACCAGGGTGCCATATTTTTTTTATTATTTTTATTTTTTTTTAGGGTGCCATATTTTAAAAAGAACCTACAGAGGTCCTTTTTATATCTATAATATTTATTATATTTCTATATTAAGGGAGCTCTAGTGAAGTATTCCATTAGGAGTTATACTGCTAACCTAAAGGCCGTTCCTCACTGGCAGTCTGAGTTTAATAATGGTGCCAAGAGGGTAAAATGGACAATTTCCTCCCATGCAGTTTACAACCTTGGAAACTCTGGACAGTCATCTGTGAGTGAGTCAGTTCCCACCCAATGGCATTTTAAGTGTTCTATACCAACAGTATTAACCCAGTTACAATATGCTTGTGTGTTTTTTACCTTCTTCTATGTCCTCAAGCCCATCAGTTTGTGAACCTGTTTTTATTTTCCCTTCATGTATCTCTAAGTAATAACTGAAAATAAAAAATGATTTTTAAGGAAGAATTCTAATAGGAAAATCAGTTATGTGTATGTGTTTATATCTATGATTCTTATTTAAGAAGTCTCCTAAAAACAATTTTCCTTACCAACACAGTCCCATAGATTAAACTTTCAAATTAAAGAAGGGTTTTTTGTTGTTTTTTTGTTTGTTTTGTTTTTTTTAAAAAAATGAATCATAATTGACTGCCTGCCCAACCAGACCATGTAGTATTTCCCAAAAGGAATTCTGGGTTTTTTTTAGCTGCATGTGCATCTCTTCCTCATGTATATTATTTCCTCCCATATATCTCTCAAAGAGTTTATCTGTTCTACCTAAACTTGACATCAAGGAAGCACTAACAGAAATTTCTTTTAATAGTATGAATCTGACTGCATATTTGAGCTACTTAAAGTTAAAGTCTAATGATGGTACTAGTGGCTGCATGTTTTAAAAGCTTCCACTGTGACAGATTATCCTAAATCGTTGCTTTCATTATGACTAATACCACTTCTACAGTGCAAATCCTAAACAAAATTGCTCTTGTAAAGTCCTAAACCTGTTAGTTTAGGACTTTGGAGATCTCTTCTTCACACTGAAGGAATTTGACCTAAATTCCTTGTAAGATTGTGAGGAATGTTGAAAATAATATCTAACCCAGAGTGTTGCACTTAACAGATGTTCAGTCACCATAAGCCCATTTTTTATTTCTATTCAGTTGTAGATCACACATGCTTATCCTATAAATAGTTGATAAGAATGTTGACTCATATAGCTTAACACTTGTTTCCTACACGTGCTAATTTTTTAAGCAGTAAACGTTTTATGTCTTTCAAGTCATAATTCTGTACTGATGAAAACTTTGAAGGTTGTTCTTAGTTCAGTTCGTGCATGGTCTGGAGCTACCAGAACAGAAAAGTAAATTCCTTTTGCCTATCTCCACAGATGCACCACCGCCGCTCTTTGAAGTGTCCTCTCTGGAGAATGCTTTTCAGATTGGGGGTCATCCTTGGCATTATATCATCACCCCTAACAAGAAGAAACAGAAAGGAATCTTCCATATCTGTTCCCTAAAGGACAATTCCTTGGTAAAAAATTAATAAGCTGACTGTTTAGTATTAATTTTGTGTCAGCATGTATTCTCTATCTCTAAAATTTGAGCGAATAATAAAACCACAGGAACTGGAATAATGCTGCCTACCACATAACACAAAGAAAATTATTATTTTTCTCATACTTGATGTAATTAAAATATTGTTGTAAAGAAAGATATGTATAGTATGTAAATGTTCTGTATTAAACAGAGGAACACCTACAGCTGATGCCACCATGGACACATTCATTTCAGTGGTTACAAACAAAATGCCTAATTGTGTTGATTTCCTCTTCTGTTACATGAAATAATTCCATGTTCCCTATTAGAAATAATTAGAATACTTACGGATTTCTTGAGAAAGTAAAACTCTCTCCTCAATTAGACACATAAAATATACTCTTTTTTTTCAACCATACTGTGTTATTGTTGTGTTTGTAGTTGTTTTATACTGTCAAATAGCCTGCAAGTCATAGGCAACCCTATGTATAGAAGCTCTGAAGCCTGCCCTTTCCTGAGCCAGTCTCACTGACTCCTGCATACCTACCTTCCACTACCCTAGTTACTATGTCAGTCATCTCATCCAGGGTCTTCGCCAGTTCTGTCCCTCCACCCTTCCGAGCATGTCCTTATCCAAGGACCAGTCCCTCCTGGCCACGTGCCCAAAGTAAGTGAGATAGAGCTTCAGAATCCTAGCCTCCAAGGAGAAACTTAGTTTCAACCCCAACCTCCCCAGACCAACTCGTTTGTTCTCTTGTCAGTCCATGGTATGTTTAATACTCTTCTCCAGCACCACAACTCAAAAGACATCAATTCTTCTGTTAGTCATTGTCCAGCTCTCTAATGCTTAGAAAGTAATTGCAAAGACCATGGCCTCAATCAGGTGCATCTTAGTCTCTAGACTGATATCTTTAGAAAGGCCTAATGACAAGAAAGTAAGTTTAATTTTTGCAGTTGTTCATGTTTGTGTACATCCTGCTGTATGACTTAATGTTTCTGTGCTTTGGATTTACTGTCTCGTCTTTCTAGCTGAAGTGCCTGGGTGATGCAGATGGTTAATGTTCTCAGTTGCAACCAAAAATGTCAAGAGATTTGGGTACCCAGAGATGACTTGAAAGAAAGGTTAGGTGATCTGCTTCCAAAAATGAGCCAATGAAAACCTTTGGGAACACAGTTCTGTTCCAGCACACTTAGGCCACCATGAGCAAGGATCAACTCCAGGGCAACTGCATTTGTTTTTCCCCAGATATTTTCTAATTTTTAAAGCTCAATTCAAGCTTTTCTTCCTCCTGAAATTCCACTGAAGTTAGTCAAGTGTTTGACGATATCTTGTGTATGACTCTGTCGCCTCATTTTCTACATTGACTTGAACTTTTTTATGTTTCTTCTTCACCTCTAAACTAACCTTCTTAATGATACATATTCTGCATAATATCAGGTACCAGCACCTAGTGTAATACATAGAATATGTTGTTGGATTCTGTCAAGTTGCCTCCAACTCATAGTGACCCTGTGCAACTGAGCAAAGCACTGTTCAGTCATATACCATCATTTTCATTCATTGTTACACATATTATCCCTTCTCCTTTCCTTCCCCCTCCCTTAGTTCACTTAAAAAAAATTGTTCATTGTTGTACAGTTACCTCCCTACCTCCTCCTCAATCCCCTTTGCAATGCAACTCTTATTCTGGGCTGTTGTCATATGTATAATGCCTAATCATATCTTCCTTTTAAACAATTCTTTCCTTCATCTGTTCCAAAGCAGATATTTATCCCTTCCTTTTTTGAGGACTGCCTTTTTTATACTGACTCTCTACCAAAAACAGTATCTTTCTCCAGGATTTAACCACTCCTGATAATATGCTCAAAGTTTATGATACGAAGTTTCTCTGTCATCATTTCTAAAGATCATTCTTTACTTATTTTAAGACATTTTTTATTCTTTTGGAAGTTCATGGTATATTCAGTATTCTTTTCCACCACCACAATTCAGACATTATTTTTCCTCCATTTTCATTGTACAGTGTCCACATGCATATGAAGCAATTGAAAATACCATGGCTTTAGTCTCATGCACCATTGTCCTCAATGAGATATCCTTGCCTTTTTTGCACAATATAAAGGCCTTTACCAAAAAAATTGTTCAATGCAAGAGGTCATTTGATTTCTTAGCTGCTATTTCATGGTTGTTGATTGAAGATCCAAGTAAAATGAAATCTTTTACACCTGCACTTTTTTCTCTCTTTATTATGATGTTGCTTGGTAATTCAGTTATGAGGAGAATTTCTGTTTTCTTTTTATTGAAGTATCCATACTGAATTCTGTAGTCTTTTTCAAAAGGGAGTGTTTCAGTTCTTTTTAGTTTTCAGCAAGCAAGCTTGTGTCATCTGAATATCACAGATTGAATGAGTCTTCCTCCGATCTGGATGCCACATTTTTCTTAAAGTCTAACTTCTAAGATTATTTACTCATCATACAGCTTGAATATCTATGGGGTAAAACTACAGCCTTGTTGCATGCTTTTCCTGATTTGAAACATCCCGCTATCCCCTTGTTCTGTACAAACTGCTTCTTGGTTCCTCAGAACACAAATAAGATCTAGGATCATAACCTTGAAGATAGTGGATCATAACCTAGAATGTGTTGTTATTGTTGTTGTGTACTGTCATGTTGGGACTAATCCATGGTGAGTTTTCAGAGGCAGTAAACTGCCTACGAAATGCCATCTCACGTGCTTTGGGCTTGTTGCCAATAGGGACCAATCCTTGGGGAAGGACATCATACTTGGAAGGGTACAGGATCAGTGCAGGAGATCAAGATCCTTGATAAGATGGATTGACACATTTAAAAAAAAAGATGGATTGACAGGGTGACAAGCAGTAGGTGTGTCAGTGAGGTTCAATGTCAGAGACAGTGAGGTTGGCTGAGGATAGGGCAGGGTTCGGTGACCTTGGCAGTAGGGGTAGGTTCGTCAGAGATAGTGAGCTTGTCTGAGGTGAGGGCAGAGTTCATAGGATTGCCATAGATCATAGCTCGATTCAGTGGTATATAACAACAACAAACCATACGGAGTTAATGTCCATCTTTCTGCTGTGGAACGACTGACATATTCTGTGTACCTTTGTATGGGCAGTGCAGTTCCTTACCACTGAGCCACCAGAGTTCTCTAACCTAAAGCATAGCCTATAATTATATGGTAAAAAAATCAATAAACTTTAACATTTCACAGCTTTGTATGTGTAATAGATAAGAAGGAGTAATCTAGAGGTAGAGAGTTAGGCATCTCACCCAGAGGCCACCAGTAAGTAGCTCCTCAAGAAAATGATGACTAGTTTCCTCCCACGCAGTTTACAGCCTTGGAAATCCAGTGGATGTTCAGTTTTGAATTGGTTCCAACTCATTGGTAGTCAGTTTGAATTTTGAATTTTTTAAATAGATACGGCAGTATCCTATTACTTTTCATTGGCATCACCAAAGAAACAACATTATTTGGATAACTCGAATATACTTGCTGGTGTTAGTTATGAGGATCTTATGGAAAGGGTAAAGCATTTATGTGCACATGTGTTGCATACCATAAAAACCCACCACTACCCTTGAGTCCTTTCCAACTCATAGCAACTTTCCATTGGGTTCCTAGGGTTCTACATCTTGACAGGAAGAGACTGCCTGATTTCTCATAGTCAGCAGCTAGTGAATGCAAACCACTGACTTTGATTAGCAGTCTGACTTGTTTTACACTGCCACCAGGGCACATTTACTCAGAAAGCTCCTCAGCCTCACTGTTGTTGAGTCAGAGACAACTCCTAGGTGACCCGCCAGCAGGTTTCCAGAGGCTATACACAGCATGAGAGTAGATCGTATATCTCTCTCCCTTGGAGCAGCTGGTGGATTTGAAACTCTTGCCATTGAGTGGGCATCACAGTTTCTTCCCACTCGGCCACCACAGCTCCCTTGGGCACATATAAGGGTGTCTTCATTTTAATGTTGAAATGTAAGTCTTTTTTCATTTAAATCCTAAGTGGTCCTGGACTCTCTCCTCAGACATCAAATATTTGACTTATCCAAGAAGAATATGTATTCTGTGCCTGAAATTTCCATTTGGATTGCATATTTATTTTGTGCTGCCCATTCTTCTAAATGTCAAATTATTAGAATTGAGGAGGGATTATAGGTGCATGGACTTTAGACTCAAGGCTACTGATGAGAAGGTACAAAATTTTGACCAAATTAGTTATTCTTACCCATACTATAGGAACAACAGTACTTGCTTTGAGTGTTGTAAGAATGAGATGAAATAGTAGCCATGGTAACTAGTGCAGTGTCTGACACAGAGTAGGTACTTGAGATATATTACTAGTCTGTCCATTTGCTGTACAGAGGTAACTCGAGGTTGCTGTGATGCTAACTAAACACTGTGACACTGATGTGTCAAATGAGATAATGGTTATGCATGTGGACATTGTTTGGTGGAGCTCCTGATTAAAACAAGCTTGGAAGCAGGAGTGGCATCCATTTCTGAAACAGCTCGCCTCTGTAAACTCTTATGAACGTGGAGAAACAAAGTATACCACTGTTGAGGTCATTCATTCTTAGGGTCGCTATGAGTCGTTTCCAACTCAGTGGCACCTAACAACAACAACATATTATTGTTTAAAGTGTAATGTACTATTAACCAGAATAAATCTATGACATTTCAAAATTTAAGTATTCTAGAGTGTTCAAATTTGAGCTTACTAATTCAGACTTCATAAATATCTCAGTTAAGGAAGTTTAATATTTTCTCTATTTTTCCTTACTAAGCTATTATTGGCATTTGATTTGCAAATTATTTTATTTTCCCTTAATCTTTAACTTCAATCCTTTTTTCCCCCCAATTTCAGGCAAAAAATGGGATCCAAGAAATGGAATGTTGTTCTCTAGAATCTGATTGGATTTATTTTCATCCTGATGCTTCTGGTAGAATAATACATGTTGGCCCAAATCAAGTCAAGTGAGTATTTATATTACCTTTTAAGCTAAGTTAAAAGTTATTTGGTAGCTTTTATTGCCAGGTCTTTTTTTTTTTTGCCAGCTAACTGTTGAGCCAACTGGGGAAGTAATTAATTAGCTTGCTATCGGGCGCTTCCTCTGAGAATGGCGTCTAGAATACCTGACCATATTCTTTCAGCTTCATTATTACTGTTTGTAAATAATGTTTGAGTAAGTTCTTTGATGGGTGATGTAGAAATGAAAGATGCAGATTTTCCTTTTCTCATCAGTTGTATTCTTTAAGACTAATGAGAGAGATGATGATCTATCTTAGTTCTGAGAGACAACCTTTCCACAAGCGAGCAGGGATTTTTACAGCTGGAAAACATGGACTCGGTGACAGAAATGGAGCTGGACAGAGAATGATTGAATTTTGCAAAATCAATGACTTATTCATTGCAAATACGTTTTTTAAGAGACATAAACGCAGGTTATATACTTGGATTTCACCTGATGGTATGCATAGGAATCAGATCGATTTACATCTGTGGAAAGAACCGCTGGAGAAGCTCAATATCATCAGCTCTGAAAACTAGGCCAGGAGCTGATTGTGGAACAGACCACCAACTACTCATATGCAAGTTCAAGCTGAAG